TGCCGCGGGGGGAGGGGGGAGTAGCGGGAGAGGCGGGAAACCGCGGATAAGGGGCGGGGGCGACGGTCATGTTTTCCCCGACAAGCATTCCTGGTTCTCTAAGTGGCCAGAGCAAGGTCTTTTGTCTGATGGCCCTCTCCTTCCTGTGCCAGACGAAGAAGCCACCGTCCCTCCGTCTCGCTTCCCGGCTTCCTCCTGCGCCCCCAGCAGGCCCCGGACCTCACCGCGAGAGGTGAGAGGCGGGAGGCAAGTGCCTGATGACCTCCCCCAGGCTCACCCAACCCCGCAGCTGAATTTTTTCCTAATTTGAAACACCATCTTTATCATATTCTAAATCCCTGGGTGATCACCTTTACTGCAAATCCCAGAAAACCCAATCAAACGGGCTTAAAGTGTCGGCTCCTGGGACAGGGAGCCCGGGCAGAGTGAGCTGATTCAGGGACTCCGTGAGCTGCGTGTCCGGGCCGCGCTGGGGCTGGGGTCACGGGCCCTCCCTCCCTGCTCGCCCTGTGCTCTAAGAGCCGGCCACACAGCGGGGCTGGCACTCGAACCCAAGCAATGGACTCTGGAGGCCAGCCTTCTGTAGAGGCCAGACTTCTGTGGAGGCCAGCCTTCTGAGGAAAATGACTTCATCTCCCAGCCTGGCCCATCTATGTACATTTATCTCATTCCCTGTAGTCTTTGGTTTATGGTCTGGGCTCTCAGTGGGGATTCCTCTCTCCTAACATAAAACCCCCCAAGGGCACGGCGGCCAGCTGAGAGGCACAGGGGCTGCTTCCCCAGGCACCTCCGTGCCTCCAAAGACCTCCAGGATGGAACCTGTGATTCGAGTGTTTTGGCCCAGCCAAGCTGGTATAAGGGCAAATCCTAGTCACTCAGAAACCATTAAAATGACATTTGGTGACCTTTACAATGTGCCAGTCACTCCCAGACACCACGCCTCATCTCTTTGAATCTTGCAGCAACCCTGGGTGAGGGTCTGATCATGTGAGAAAGGGGGGTTGGAGGTGGTGCTCTGCTGTGGGGGTCACCCAGCTAGAAGGTCAAAGCTGTTGGCCCTCCGCCAAGAACGTGGAATGAATGCACAGATGGATGAATGGGCGCATGAATGAAGCAGACAGCCCACAGCAAAGGGCTGTGTGCTCTTAGGCACATGGCATCGATCCTGCCTGGACAGAGGGACCCTTGAGGTGGCCTGTGGTGATTCAGGGGGTGGGAGGCACCTCCCTGGGGCTCCTGAATGGACCTCACTGGGACTAGACCCTGCGAAGGGCAAATCCTGGGGCTTGGTCCCCATGGGACACGCTGGCTGGGGTGCTGGTATTGGTGAACAGGGGGGCAGCCTGGCCCCCGAGAGAACGCTGCTGGCCTGCCTGCATCCGCCCCAGCCGGGACGGTCACAGCCTGAGCACCCCTCTGCATGTGCCCTGGGGAGTGGGGGGTCAGACAAGGCTGCCATCAGACTGGGTGTCTGAGCAGGGCCTTAGGCCCAGTAAGGACTGCGGATGGGAGTTCAGGGACGAGGTGTGCGGGGCTGGGCGGCCCTCCTGTGCATCGTGATGCTGCCAGGCAGGTTGATCCTGAGGGGCCTGGGGACCCTCGGAGCTGGGTCTCTCCAGCCAGAAACCCCTTTGGGAAGAGTAGCAGGGACCCAGTCTCCCGGCGATGAGCCAGGTTTTATGATCACGTTACCTCAATATATACAAACATAAGGTCAGATATGACCTTATGCTTCTGAGCCTCGTAAACTATAAAATGCCAGTAGAATTACCAATCAGGGAGATAAAAGCCCACAAGACACATACAATTTAGATTAATAGCACAATGAAATTCATAGTTTATTTAATATGAGGTATGTTTTTTGTGGTAAAATGTACATAAAATTTATCCCTGTAGCCATTTTTGAGGGCCATTGAGCATTCACACTGTTGGGCAGACACCCCCACATCCGCACTGACAGGCAGGTTTGGGGACTTCGGGAGGCCTCGGGTGACTCAAAGGACCCGGGATGTTTTTCTGTTCAAGCCATACCACGAAAGCTCCATCCACAGGTCACGTGCTCTGGCTTAGCAAGGACTCCACTCAGGCACTGAATCGGTCTCTGTTCCTTGGTGAAAATTAATGCGGTTAGCACACACATGTGACTCTTGCCGTCCGTGTCACTTAGTCGGTGACTTAAGACACAGGGCTTCTTTGATAAAAGGGGATCTCCACTGCCAATTTTCCCTGTAGTAGGAAGTCCTGTCTCTTATCAGCACATGTCGGGTGACGGGCCATCCTCACGTGAGCAAACACCACTCCAAGTCCCACTTGCCCGCCGGGTCCAAACGTAACGCACAGCATCACGTGGCTAGAAAGCCGCCAGCAAGGTGACTCAGAGTCGGTATCATGGAAATACAAGCACAAAACTAAAACAGACATGGAGAGCTTGCGGTTGCTAAGAACCGCTAAGAACCGTCAGGGGTCTGTAGTCGGATTCTGCTTTTGTCTGGGGGCTGATGGAGGGTGGGGTCCTCGAGAGAAGGGATGGGGCTCCGTGGAGGGAATAAAAGAGGGGGCGGAAAGGAGAGGCTGTTATATATGGGAGCGATCCCCAAGGGGGAGGGGGCCGGGTCTGCACCTCTGGCAACTGGGTGGATCATGGTGCCAGGCGTAGAACTGGACGCAGGCAGGGGGAAATGCAGAGTCTGCATGCCGTGGGCAGAATAATGCCTGACCCCCACGGTGTCCACAGCCTAATCCTGGACCCGTGAATGTGCACTTACATGGCAAAAGGTGTGGCCCCTCGGCAGCTGACAGTAAGGGTCTGGGGTCTCAGACAACCATGTGGCAGGCACTGGGGACCTGGTGGGTGAGGCTGAGGGCCTGGCTTCCCTGGGTGCTGAGTGGGAAGAGGGTTCTGGACATGCAGGGACAGGGTGTGGGGTCTGAGATGTGGTGGCCAGAGAAAGAACCGGCGGGAGAAAACGTCATGCAATTATCAAGACAAGCATCAAATGCCCCGAAGGTTGAGCAACAGACCACAAAGTACACAATGGGTTTGGCAACCACCTCACAGGTGCAGCTCGGGGGGGCGGGGAGTGGTCCTGGGGTGCTAGGGCAGAAGGGGAGGGTATGAAGCCGGGAAACCTCGGGGGGGCATGAGACTAGGGAGTTGGCCCTCTCTTCCAGGAAACACTCCGACCAAACTCCCCTTCATTGGCCTGAAACCTCCCACAAAGCATGTACATTTGGGCCTTTGCCCCGTCTTTCTCAGGAGATGACTTGTGTGCAAACTTTACAGGAAGTACAAATCTCACAAAGTCTTACAAAATATATAAATGGAACATGAATTGGTTTTTTTGTGAAGTTGCCATGAGAAATTCCTCTAAGACGAACCATGAGAGACGATGGACTCTGAAAAACAAACTGAGGGTTCTAGAGGGGAGGGGGGTGGGGGGATGGGTTAGCCTGGTGATGGGTATTGAGGAGGGCACGTTCTGCATGGAGCACTGGGTGTTATATGCAAATCATGGATCGTGGAACACTACATCAAAAACTAATGATGTAACGTATGGGGATTAACATAACAATAAAAAATTCCTCTAAAAATTGTAGCCACTCCCCTAGCCACGGCAGGGTGTCACTGGTCCCATCACAAAGGTCCTAGTTCTGATCGGAGGTCAGTCAGACCCGTCCCAAAACACCTTCTCCCTTGAAGCGCTGGTTCAAATCAACGGTGGGGAAAATGCTCAGATGTGAGAGTGACATGCGACATCTTAGGACCAGCGGCCACGGGCTGGCCCCATTGTCGTGAGATCATGAGGAACAGAAGCTCCGTGGCTCTGGGTGAAATGTCACTGCTTATTTTCGAGGTACCTGAGGAACAAGTTGCCACAGATCTGGGCAAGCACTTTATAGCTGTCGAATCGTCCTTTAGGGTGATGAAGCCACGAGGGGCAGAGCCAGGGGTGGACCCCATGCTCCGTGGCTCTCTGGGGACACTCCCACCAAACAGTCCAGGTTACACCTACTCCTGCATCTGGTGGACAATGAAAACACATTACAGGAAACGTAGAAAATACAGGAAGTATAAATATCATTTAGAAACAATCATTTTTGAAGATTTGCCATGCATCTTTCCACCTCCAGTGCCCACGTAGGCATTTGTGCTTTTGCTGCAGGCTTGTGTTTACTTTCATTACACTTTCCCTTTCGTTTCACAAAGTAGGGAAGCTGTGTGCTTCCTGAGGGCAGGCTGCTTGTCCCGCTGTCGTGCCCCAAAGCCTGGCATGGTGCTGGTGAGGGCGGGAGCCTCCAGCCCGCGGATGTGTGAACTGGCCGAACAAATGGGTGCCTCCATCAGCTCCACCAGCATCTGCTGGGGGGGAGGGGGCGGCTGCTTATGCAGGTAACCCCGTCACCAGGCTTTACGGCTCTGCCCTGGTCCGGGGGCCAGCCCACCTCCGGGGCCCGGGGAGTGGGTGGCGCGCATGGCCTACAAGCGCAGGATGGAGCCTCTCTTCGCCCACCATCTTTTCCGAGTCTCGGCATCAGATCTCAGCCTCGAGAGGTCACGTGCGGTGCTCCAGAGCCCAGCTCCGTCTCCCTCACCGCGCGGCCAGGAGCTGCTCTCCATGGAGGTCCTGGGGTGCGAGTGCAGGGGGCGGGTACGGGGGGGACGGACGACACCTGGTGCCTTCACAGCATGCAGGACGGAGAGACAGGCCACAGGAGCGAGCCGGTGGCAGAGCTGGGGACTGGGCCCTGTCTGCTCGCCGGCCATGGAAGAGTTCAGGTGCAGAAGTCACAGGTCATCGAAGCCTCTATCACGACTCGTGGTGTGATGGACGGCTGGGTGCTTCTTCCGGGTGTGAGAGGCATGCAGGGGGATGTCGGGCGCATGTCAGGATGTCTGGCATTTACCCTTTCAGTAGCTTATCTCCTAAGCCATGAGGGAATGGAAGAACCTCTGAAATCTGCCTCTGTTCAAGAAATAGGGACATATTTTTCAGCAAGCCTACTTCCCAAAGCTACCCGTCAGCCAAGCCTCTGACGTGTATCGACAGTGCCGACGTGTCTGTCCCCCACAGAGCTAGCTCTGCCCCTCCGCCTGAAGGGTAGGGGCGCTGGCCGGCAGCTGGGGAAACGCACAGCGCACCACACAGGGCCAGGCCGCGCTGGTGTGGGCTTGAAACGGGCTCAGGGCCTCGGCGGCACCCTGAGCTTGTGACTGCTTCAACTTGTGTTCCTGGCCGGGAGCTTGAGGTCTACAGTGCAGGGCCACGTCTCTCTCATTTCCTGTGGTGGCCCCAGCCCTTCGCCGTGCCCGGCACCAGCACGTACTTGCTGAAGGCGTGCAGGGGCCCGAAGTCTGGTCCATAGCTTAGCAGGACAGTGTGCTCAGGACCTCAGCCATCCAAGGCCACGGTGACATGGCATGACATCACGTGTGGCTTTCCCAAGGTCGCAGCTGGAAGGCCTGAACGAGGGACGGCCACTTGGCTCTCTGATGCCCCTCAGCGGCAGGTGGGCCCGAAGCCAGTGAAAGGTGGCCTCTACCAGACCAGTTTGCTGAGCGCAAATGCTCCCATTGTTACTGGCTCCTGGAGCTGTTATGAAGTCCAGCTACCCTGTTCACGGTTCAGCCTAAGAAAAGTGGCAAGAGGTACTGAAATTGACCACAAGGGGACTTTGGAGAATATGAGAAGTGAAGTAATCCTTAATAGGAATGTAAAGTTCTTTGTTAATATGGAGTTTTCCACTGTAAAGAAATAAGCTTTAGCAGGATTACCTTAGAAGCAGAAAGTCCACTTTTTAAAATTACAGGATCCTGTTATCAGAATGGTGATTTTGATACAAAACAGTAATAAACTATGGCACCACAGAAGTCCTAGTATTTCTAAGAATTAACATTTGTAGAGCACCGTGTCAATCACCCCTGAGCACTTAACAGTCCCATCGCAGGCCGTCCTCCCAAGTTTTACTATCCCCTCCTGACACCCTCAAGGGCCAGGAGCCCACTGGGCATCCCCTGGTGTTCAGGTCTACGTGGATGGCCTCAAAGCCTCTGGCCAACTGTGGCAGCAACAGAGTGACCCAGGGGCGACCGTGTGGGCTCTGGAGCCTGACAGCCTCGGCTCCACCCTCGGCTCGCCCCCTGCTACGGACTTCCTCCCGCTGCTGACCGCACACGGGGCCCCCACCTGTAGAGTACCAACACTGATCACTGCTGACTCCGACGTTCCTTCTCGTGCTGGGCACGGACCCAAAGCTTCCTCCTGCAGGGACTCATTTCCAGGGACAAAAGACTCTCCCCCTCAAGGGCGGTCATGAGGCAGGAATGAGAGCATGTGCACAGCGCCCGAAGCCCCGCCGGGCATGGAGCAAGCACTCAGTGAAGGCTGGCTCGGAGAGGCCAGCCGTGCCTCAAGCCCTGGGGTCCCTCGTCCTGGCTCACTGCTAGGTCTTCACAGCACCAGCGCGTGGAGGCACTTGGTCAACCTTGGTGCGGGGGCCCCAAGTTCGGGCTGTGCGGATGCCCTCGGGCCCCTGGAGCAGAGCAGCCGGGTCACCAGGGGGCCCCCAAGGTGGGCCCATCTGAGTCGCAGGATGTCAGGGACCCAGCGATGCTGCTGCCACCACCTCTACCGCTCACGTCCTCGTCCTCGAGGCCCCGGGCCTGCTGATCCTCCACGATGAGGTCGGCCACCAGGTTGAGCTGGCAGGCCCTGAGCGCCCTCACCAGGTGGGACACTGTCGCGTCCTCCCTCTTGGTGCTCTTCCAGACTCTCAGCGACTCCCTCACCTGCTCTGTCAGGTTGCGGGGATACTTCTCCTCGATGGCATCGATCTTGACGTCCGTCACTTTAAGGTGCCGGGCCAGTCTTCTCCAGTCCTTCCCCACATTATCACAGATGATGTCAAATGCGGCACGCAGGTCTGGGGAAAGAAGAAGATGATTTACCAGAAGTCTGGGGAGCTCATTAGGAGACAAGTAACCTCATACTCCCAGTGGGCTTCTTGCTGCTGACCTAAGTGCTGGGGATACAAGAGGTGCTCTTGCAGAGGCTGGAGTCACCCAGCAGTAGAGGGGCCAGGGGAAGGTCAGAGAAAACCCAAGGGGGGGCCTCCAGTCCTGCCCCCAGCCTACTCCAAAAACTGCCCAAAAGGTGTGGCCCTCTGAAGAGGTGATGGCTGGTGTGAGTGGTAGTGCAGCTAACTGCTTGGGTGGGGGAAACTGAGGGAGGGCCTGGGAGTTGTCTAAAGGAAGGAAATGGAATCACTCCCCCATCCTACCCTGTAGTTAAGTGGCGGCTCCTAAAAAGTTATGCCCACCTCAAATCCCTGGCACTGTGAGCGTTAACTTATCTTGAAAAGGGTCTTTGCAGATGTGATCAAGTGGAGGATCTTGGGATGAGATCATCCTGGATTATCCAGGTGGGCCCTAAATACAGTGACAAGTACCCTTAGAAGACAGACAGAAGAGGAGGCCGTGTGATCATGGAGGCAGAGATGGGAGAGATGTAGCCATTCGCCAAAGAATGCCCAGAGCCTCCAGACTCTGGAAGAGGCAGAAGGGTGCTGTCCCAGAGCTTCCAGAGGAAGCCTGGCTCTGCTGACGTGACCTTTGACTTCTGGTGCCAGAACCGCGAGCGAATCAGTTCCATGTGGGCCTCAAGGCCCCGAGCTGTGGTCTTTTGTGTGGCAGCCCCAGGGCACTAAAACCCAATTCTTACTTTGGAAGCTGCCTGGACTGACCACTAGTCTTTGGTCCCTGGCTACCACGTCCTCATCTGCTGAAAGGTCACGACCGAGACCAGCAGGTGGGGCACTACCGACCCTAACAGGCAGCCTCTGGAATGAGGGAGCAAGCAGAGAGGAAGGACAAAATGCTGCTCGGGGGGCCCCAGCAATGTGTATCTTCAGCTACGGACCCCCAAGATGCTGTCAGCCTGTGTGCCTACTCTGCTCCGGCCCCCCTGGAGGTGGGCAGGCGGGCACGTGTGTTACCGTGACCACTGGTACAGAGGGGGAACCTGAGGCACGGGGAAGAAAAGTGATTTTCCTGATGTCATACAGCTAGACAACGGCACAGCCAGAAAGCAAAACCCAGACAAGTCAGCTGCCGGTCCCCTCGACCAGGACGCTACCCCGTCTTCTGTGCGAGAGTAATACAGGACGGGCCCTCATCAACCCACCCCTACCTGTTCATCTCTGGTGTCCTCTCCTGCAACACACATACAAACACAGACAGACACAGAGAAATCTAAAACGTTATGATCTGTGTTTTGTGGACTGCCTCTTAAACGTATCATGTCAACAATCTCCCCTCCACTGAATGTCCTTGAAAACACAATTCCTCTATGTCCTGTTCTGTTTGCACAGCGCTGTGTGTCTATGTTTATCTACGGGTCTTTACGGAGTTAACACCCATGCTGTTAGAGGTCCACCCTTTCCTCTGGTGACCGAAGGACTGATGCCAGGCCAGAGCTTCAAGCCTATGAGGATGTCCCCGAAGCACTCGCCATCACCCCCTCCCAGGGCTCTGAGAACACAGGGGTGTGGCTGAGAAGCCCTGCTCCACCCAGGTCTCATTTTTACTCCTCGAAGCCTCTGCGAGCCCCAGGTGAGGCTGGAGAGTGGGGATGCCTGAGCACGGGGCAGGAAGCCACAGAAGGGACCTGGTCCGAGAGGCTTGGTGCCAATACCACCCACCCACCCACCCACGGCCGCCTCAGGTCAGTCCTAGTTAGCAAGGGCTGTGCATCTTAGGCCCCTCACCTCCCCTCGCAGCCATGGTCCTCTGGCTTGTAAGACGTGAATAAGATAGCAGAACCTAACTCCGGGGCCATCGCGAACACTGAACAGCTGCGCCAGAGGCATTTTCAGTACTGTGGGCCCTAAATACAGCGTCAAGGGCACCGTGGGGCATTCCCAGAGGCAGAAGGGAATCGAAAGCAGCCGCAGGCTCACCGAGCCGCTGCCACCCAGCGGAGGTGAGCAACGCCCTTTCCTCGGACTGCTTTCTAATTAAGCCGGAGGAAGGGGGCGATAGAAAAAATACCGAACTGGGTGTGTGTGTTCCCACGACTTCCAAGCCGGAGTAAGTTAACTTTTACGAGCTCTGGCTCTCCCATCTGCAAAGTGGGCAGGCCACCCGTCTCCCCCGAGCGCTGAGACGAAATCTGCGCCGACCGAACCTGAGAAAGGTCTGGCGCGGCTGACCGGCCCCGCCTGCCCCGGGCCCCGCCCCGCCCCGCCCCCGGGCGCCCCGGTCCCGGCCCCCCGCGCCCACCTCGCTCCTCCGGCGGGACCCTGCCCGCCGCGCCCGCCTCGAAACTGTCCAGGCGCTGCAGCAGGTCCTGGCGCCGCAGGGAGACGAGCAGCTCGCGCAGCAGCTCGGGGTGCTCGGAGTCCAGCTCGTTCTGCTCCAGCAGCACGTTGAAGAGGTCGAGGCCGCTCTGCACGCGCTCCAGCTTCCTCTTGCCCACGCGGCTCCGGCACAGGAACTTGAGCTCGGTCAGCTCGTCGTTCGACAGGCCGGTCGACACCGAGTGCAGCAGCACCAGGAACGGGTCCATGGCGGCGGGCCGCGGGGGGCGCCCAGCCAGGCCCTCCGCGCGCGCCCCGCCCCGCCCCACCGTCCCCCCGGCGGCCCGGCGGCCCCTCGGCCCCCGCGGCCCGGCTTCCCGCCCCACAGCCCGCGCCACTGGCCCCGGTCCCGGCGCCCCACTACCGGAAGTCCGCGTCCCCGCCCACTCTGCCGCGGTCTCGCGAGAACTCTGGGGCCCGCGCATGCGGCCCTGGCCCGACTGTAGCCGTTTCCGCCCGGGAGGCGCGCGGCCGCCGCCAGGGGGCCTCCCCGGAGAGCTCCGCGCCTGCGCCCTGCAGACCATCTCCCGCCCGGCGAGGGTACTGTGGCCCCGCGGTCCGGAGCCCCAGGCGCGAGCTGAGAGGGTGGGCCTGCGTTTCCCGGGCCGTGCTGCGCTGCGGATGCCGATAATAAATGCATCTATTATTAACATTTGTGAGAGTGCAAAGGGTCTTTTAGTGCTCCCTGGGCAGAAAAGACGGTTCAGAGGTTTATTGAAGTTTTAAAGTTTGATTTCATTAATATTTCATTTTTATAGGCATGTAGGCGTCCGAATGCTTTTAGTTTATTGAGCGCCCACTCGTGTGCCAGGCAGTAGGTGCTGGGAACACATCTGGGAGCAAAGAGCAGTAGGTGCTGGGAGCACATCCGGGAGCTACGTCATCAGTACCCAAGCTTACATAATACGGATGAGAAAGTCGTGCAGCATGCCAGAAGTTAGTAAGAGCCAGGGCAAAGCGGGTAAGGGGATGGGGAGTGTGGAGGTCGGGGCACGGTTAGAGGGGGCGGTCAGAGCAGGCTTCACTGCGCAGGTGCAGGTGCGGGGACCAGGTGCAGGGGCCAGTGGCCAGGTGGGTGGGTGTTGGGGGCAGGGAAAGGGCGCGGGGCGGGGGCACAGCCTCAGCAGAGGCAAGTGAAAGCGGAGGTTCCGGGAACACCTGGGGGACCGAAGGGTCTGGAGCAGGGAGGGGGGTCGGCAGGGGTTGCCAGAGAGGAGAGGGGAGGGGTGGATTAGGAGGTGCCTCACGGGACAGGTGCAGACCCGGCTTTACTGCCCCTGAGAGGAGCCCCTACAGAGTGTGGGCAGAGGAGTGAAGCCATCGAGTTTCCTTAAAATAAAAAAAAAAAAAAAAAAATATATATATATATATGTATATACAGATAAATCCACATATACACACACACACACACATAAATAATTGTGACAGAATTCACAACCCATCTAACTTACCCGTTTAAAGTGTACATTTCAGCGGATTTTAGTATATTCATAAGGTTGTGCAAGACTCACCATTAGGTAATTTTAGAACATTTTCATCACACTGAGTAGAAACCTGCCACCTATTAGCAGTTACTTCCTTTCCTTCCTCCTCCGCTCAGTCCCTGATAACCACTACTTTATTTTCTGCCTCTTTGGATTTGACTATTCTGGACATTTCATATCAATGGGACCATACACTATGTGGCCTTTTGTGCCTGGTTTCTTTCACTGCGCAAAATGTTTTCAAGGCTCATCCACGTTGTAGCATGTGACGGTGCTCCATTCCTTTTTAATGAGTCCAAGAGTAGTCCATTGAACAGATAGACCACATTTGTATATATCCAGTCATCAGCTGATGGACATTTTGATTGTTTCCACTGTTAAAAACCAAAACTCAACTGAGTAAATGTGAAGATCTAATTGGCTTTATTCAATAATTCATGAACCAGACAGTATCCCATGTAGCGAGTAGAAAGCTCTGGGGATCTGAGTGTACAAAACAGAAGGTTTTTATAGACAGAAGGGGAAGAAAAGGAAGTTTTCTAAGGAAGAGTGGATTGTTCTGGCAAGGTCACCTTCCTTTGGGAGAAGGTGAGGGTCTATCATGCAGATCACCTCACTAGTGCCCAGCAAGGAACCCCGGATTTTCTGGTTTGAGGTTACATTCCTGGGAGAGGGTGGAGTCTTGGTTTGCTGTTGTGGGGAAAAGTGACTCTGTTTTTGGCCCCGTTGTTCCTTTTTTAACAGCAACTTTTGGCTGTTCCGAATAATGCTGCTATGAACCTGGTATTACATTTTTAGAGGGTCACTGCCACTGTGTAGAAGCTAAATAACCCTGATGAGAGATGAGGGTAATTGAACGAGAGCAGGGGTGGGGATGAGAAGGGGGCAGCCTTCTTTCGATTTGGGGGTGTATGTAATGGAGGGGTACTGAGGACCCTTGTAAAGTTTGAAGGATGGAGGAAGTCCCCTGACTGATCCAGGTGAGGTATGGGTGGGTGGGGGGGGGGGGGTTGGGGAGGACCTGCTAGAGATGTTGATTGGACGGTGGTATGCACAGGACAAGGGTTTGGAATCGAGACCTGGGCAGGAGATGTGAATTGGGGAGTATTCAGCAGATAGATGTGTGTGTGGCAGTTAATTTTAGGTGTCAGCTTGACTGGGCTAAGGGCTGCCCGGTAGCTGGTCAACCAGATTCTGGGTGTGTCTGAGGGTGTTTCTGCAAGAGATGAGCATTTGAACTGATGCTCTGAGTGAAGCAGACGGCCTCCCCAGTGCTGGCGGCATCATCCAATCTGTTAAGGGTCCAAATAGAACAAAAAGGCGGAGGAAGGGAGAATTTGCACTCTCTGCTTGAGCACCATTCCCCCCACCCCATTTTCTGGCATTCACACTCAGACTGAACTTGACCCTGGCTTTTCTAGGTCCCCAGCTTGGACTTCTCGGCTTCCATGACCACTCGAGCCAATTCCTATGATAAATCTCTTGTATAGATCTCTATATAGCCTATTAGTCCTTTTCTCTGGAGAGCCCTCACTGGTATAGTACTTAGAGCACTTGCAAGGTGAGGTCATCTATGTGGAGGAAGCAGACAGAAAAGAGGGTCAAGGGCTAAGCCCTGTGGTGTCCAGCTTTTCAGGAGAAGTGCAGGGGTCTGTGAAGGAGGCTGAGAAGGAGCCCCTCGAGGCAGGAGAGTCAGACCACACCCCTGCTGGAGAACCCTATTTCTTTGTCCCTTGCATGTCTCTTGTCTCCTGATTTACCATATACTTGGCTTCCTGCTCTGCATTTTTTACCCATCTCTCCTGCCAGAATGTGACACTTGGAGGCAGGGACTCTGAGCACCCAGAACACCCACTGGGGCTTAATAGGTGCTCACAGAATGGTTTTGAATGAACGAATCTTACATAAGGTGTGGTTAATTTGAATCTCCATTGGCACAGCTATACCCATGTTTGACCCACTGCCTTGCTGTCTGAAGTTTTTCTGTTTACCATCTTTTTTTTTTTTTTAAAGATTTATTTATTTATTTGAAAGAGAGAGAAAGAGCATGAGCGGAAGGGGCAGAAGGAAGAGAAAGAGAGAATCTTAAGCAGAGTCTGCGCTGAGTGCGGAGCCTGACTCGGGGCTCCATCTCAGGACCCTGAGATCATGACCTGAACTGAAACCAAGAGTTGGATGCCTAACCCACTGCACCATCCAGGCATCTCGTCTGTTTAACTTTCTTTACATAATCTGTCACAGAGCAAAAGCCTTCACTTTTATCCAATTTTCTTTTCATGGGTTATGCTTTTGGTATCGTGTCTAAGATCCCTTTGCCTACCTCTGAGTCCCAAAGATTTTCTCCGATATTTTTTTTTCTAAAAGTTTTATAGTTTTCTGTTTCATTCTGTGATCCATTTTGGGCTAATTTTGGTACAAGTGTAAGGTTTCGGTGGAGTTTTGTTTTGTCTTGCCTGTAGGTGTCTAATCACTCCAGCACTGTGTGTTGGAAAGCCATCTTTCTCCTATTGGAATGCTTGTGCATCTTTGCCAAGAATTCGTTAAGCACATTTGACTTTCCTCTATGTTCCCTATTCTGCTCCATTGATCTATGATTCTACCCCCACCCCAGTACCACCCTTTGTTGATGTTATATAGGAAAACTTAATTTTGTGTAGAGGAACTCCTCTGACTTTATTCTGCATTGTCAAGACTGTTTTAGCTATTCTAGACTCTGTGTCTTTCCATATCAATTCAAAAATAAGCTTGTCTATGTCCAGAAAAACTTGCTGGGATTTAATAGGAATTGCATTAAATCCATAGATCAATCTGGGGAGAAGTAACATCTTTACCATACTGATTCTTCCAATCTATGAACATGGTATGTCTCTCTATTTATTTAGGTCTTCTTTGATTTCTTTCATCAGCAAATTATAGTTTTTAGGTTATAGATCCTGTACATAGTTTAAGTGCAACAATGAGTATTTGGTTTTCTTTGGAGTCATTTTAAATGCTATTCTAAGTTTTGCTTCCTGCATGTTCATTCTTAGTATATAGAAATGTGATTGATTTTTGTATGTTGATTTTATATCCTGCTACCTTGCTGAGCTCATTTGTTAGTTCAGGAGTGTTTTTGTGTTTGTTTATATCTTTGGGATTTTTCTATGTAGACAATCATGTCATCTGCAAACAGAGACAGTTTTATTTTTTTACTCTCCAACCTGTATGTCTTCTATTTCTCTGCCTTACTGTATTTCAGGGGCTGAAATTTCCTGTACAGTGTTGAATAAACACAGTGAGAATGGACAACAGACATCCTTGTCTTGTTCCTGATTGGGGCAGGGGGAGGACGGAAGCATTTGGTCTTTCAACATTATGTGGGATGTTAGCTGTGGGCTTTTTCTTTTTCTTTCTTTCTTTTTTTTTTTTTTTTTTTTTTGCGCAGATGCTCTTTATCAAGTTTCAGTAATGCTTATTTACTCCTAACTTGCTGAGAATTTTAGTTGTTGCCATTGAAATCATAAACGGTTGAAGAATTTTGTGAAATGCTTTTTCTGCATCAATTGATATGATCACATGGTTTTTCTTCTTCAGCTTCCTGATGGGGTGGATTGCACAAATCTTTCTGTTTTAAGATTCATTTATATATTTGAGAGAGAAAGCACGAATAGGGGGAGGGGCAGAGGGAGAAGGAGAGAGAGAATCTCAAGCAGACTCCCCACTGAGCCCAGATACTGATGCGGGGCTCCATCTCACCACCCTGAGATCATGACCTGAGCTGAAATCAAGAGTCGGATGCTTAACGGTCTGAGCCACCCAGGCGCCCCTGCATGGATTTATCTTCGCATG